CCCCAAAACCCCAAAACCCCAAAACCCCGTTATGCTGAGAATCAACTAATAAGACAATAAGAACTTTTGAAGAATTTAATATATTATTAATCAATTTAATTAGATTTATAATCTTACATTAATTATTTACTCTATCATTTAGTAGCTTCTAATCTTATTATAAAGAATGAATGTACATAGATGCTCGCATGTATACAGTCATTAATTAATTTATTATTGTAGTTTTATTTTTTATTGCCAGTCTCATTGCTCCATCTAGTCACTATTTTGATTCTATCCTCCATGGCCAACACCTCTTTCAGTCATCAACGGTAGTCCATTTATTCCTCGCAAGGTTGTACTAGTTGAAATTGGGGCATTATTATTATTGATATTTTAACTTTATCTATTTCTCTACTATATTTTTCTTTGTTCATAGTCGTTATCTTCAGTAGGTAATTCGAATCTGCAAGTAGGGCATGAATTATGCTTTTCAAGCCAAGGAATAAGACACTCATCATGAAACATGTGGGTACATGGCATTTCAAGAATCTTAGGAACCTTAATTACTTCTTGATTTTGTTAATCATTTTACTACTCATTTGGCTCTTTCATTTATTAATCTGAATCGCTTGAAACAACTTAATTTTGTTATTGTTTGATTATCAATTTAGTAGTGTCAGGCTCGTAATCCTTAAATAGTTCTTAGCATACACAACATTCAGTATTTGAATTCTTGAAGTCCAAGATACAGTAATTTTTTAGAGCTTAAATAGCTAATTTAGATGCAGGTGGTGTTCCGAATCGACTAATTTTAATTAAATCTAAATGTAGTTTACTTAAGATCATTTTCTGATATCTATTAGATAATTTGCTCCAGATAGTTGTTGTAAAATCCACCAGTTCCAAAACCCATGGGAAACTCAGGTCTATCGAGGTAATCCTCAATCAGATCTTGATATATTCCTTGTGGACTATTATTGTAGAGAGAACCGAAATCTGGGAATAATCTTCTGAGTCTAAATTACGATGGTCCTGCATTGTTTCCTATTATGGTAATTCAGTAAAATTTATGTTTAAGAGTCAGAGAATCAGATAATAATAAAAATGAGTGTAACTTACCTATAACTCTTATTTGTGCACGAGTTAAAACTGCGTTGTTGAATTCGGAGTTATTGTTTCTAATGCGCTGTAAAGCCATATCAAGAATTGTTCTAAGTAACTCACTATTCTAAAGGGCTTAGGATGTTATTGAACCATCAGATGCAATAGTAGCACCCCTTTCTAGATTCAATGGCAAGTCTTCAAGAACGTCTCTGACATTTTCTATTCTACTTCTATCTGTCCTATTGCTATTTTATATGTTTTGACTATTAATTTGAATAGGGATCATGGTATTATTATGATTCGTTGGGTTTTAATTTCCTCCGTTTCCTCGAAGCCGAGTATTGATTGGATATTGTTGCTACAATTGAGGGGAGAGTCTAGCCCATTCATTATCTCTCTGCGCCTAATTTTAGTTTATATTTCTAATTCTTACACTATTTTCAAGGCTCAAAGTTTGAATAGTGTTGTCACTGTCATCACTTTCATTTTAGACAATTTAAAACGGCTGAAACTACTGTGGATGAAGCTACTCTTCATCGTACTAATTTTCTATAGCTTCGCAGAAAAATCCTTAGCATTAATCACCTAGTAGCCATTATTAATCCAACAATAGAATTATGATTCTTACATTAATGCCCAAATTCATCAACAAACCTAGTTTATACCTCTTTTTGACAATTATGACACCAAAATTGATTGGGAGGTGAGATTTAGTGCAATAGAGCAAAACTTTCCATGATTATTGTTATAATTTAAATGATAATTCTAATTTATCTCTAATTCAATCATTTGTCTTAAATTCAATTCATTCATTTAGGGGTTTTGGGGTTTTGGGGTTTTGGGG